GAGCTTAGTTTATATATCCCTTGGACACTTGTGATTCGACGTTAACATCACAATACATTGAGATTTGTTGGATTGCTTCTGAAGTATGAAACCAATTGATATACGCTAGTTTGTACTGTCACGGTAGTTGGTTCCAATTAAAGTTATATATTTTCTAGATAGTAGATGGATATTAATACCTTTTTAGTTAGTACTATTTCATTATCTCTTATTATGGTGCTACTTGAGTTGAGTAAGATATATTTACTTTGATGTGAGAATTTGAGAATATGTCTTACTATATATAAGCGAAGATGTGTGTCAAAAATACTGGAAAATATTGCTCAGATTAAAGTATATCCTTCTGACCTTCTGATTAGTGGATACTAATTAACACCTTTTTCCATAATTCAAGAATACTCTATAGTTAGGATTCTGTTATCTCCATGTATATTCAACTACTTAAAGTTTTATTCATAACATTACAATATAACCATGACAAAAACAACCCCCCAACATCACACAATAGAACATGTAACAAGCCCAAACAACAACATTCGTAAACTGCAAATGTTAAACATTACAAACAAACAAAAACATAATTATATCAGTAATGCAAGACATAACAGTTATACTCAACAGTGGCTTCTCCTGCATCGAAATCAGACGGCATGGTCTGAGCCTCGACATAACCTCTAGCGAACCGGAACATTCCACTTCCTCCAACCACCGGCATTTCCCTAACCTTTGAGAACACCGGGTTCCGACCAAGAATCGTGATTGTACTCCCATTGTACTTGCCGGTCTTGAAAGCAAAGTTCATCACCATCAAGTAGCCAATCTCTCTTTGCGCGGCTCCGGCGTAAATCCCTTGGGCCTGGCCCACCACAGTCGAATTCCTCGACACATCCAATGTTAGTGGATCATCCATCATGGTGACCGATCCGAATGTGGAGGAGTTCGAGACGGGCTGTTGGATCATGACGGCGCTAGGGTTTCGACCTTTTAAGGAGTCTTGCCAATAGACTCGGATATGGGTGAGTTTCTCCTTCTTGGGGAGGCCGAGGTGTTCTTGGTTCATTGTTCTTGCAAAGTCTCCGGTGGAAGCAATGGCTGCGAAGAGGAGGATTTGTGCGGCAAGGATAAGGATGAGTTTAGTCATGTTTGTTGTAATTGTGTATATAGATGAAA